ACAATGTGAAGGAACTCGAACCTGTTCAACCAGTATGTGCTTCTGCTGTAGGAAACCCGAGCCTTGCTCAGTTAACTGAGATTCATCGACACAGTGGACACCCTGGAGTTAAACGGACACTATATTTCGCACATAGGATCAACCCGTCCGTGTCGAAAGCAGCAGTAAGATCGGTCATTCGAAGTTGTGAACAGTGTCAGTCAATAGATCCAGCTTCTGTGCGATGGCAGAAGGGAGAGCTCAGTGTGTGTGAAACTTTGAGTCATCTGGGAATGGACATTACACACTATAACGGTCACCATTTTTTTGACTCTGATCGATTGCAGCCCCACACGGTTTTCGATCTGGCGACCACTAGTTTGGCAAGACGCTGCACACGTAATCCGGCAATTGGAGTCAGTGTTTTTCGAACGTGGTGCCCCGGTGGAAATCCTGGCTGATAATGACACTGCATTCCGCAGTCAGCAATTCAAACAATTCATGGAAGAATGGGGCGTCCGATTCCGACTGCGCTGCGCATACAAACCATCTGGAAATGGTATTGTAAAGAGGTGTCATCGAACAATCAAACGGATTGCTGCGCGAAAGAGCTGCTCTATTATGGAGGCCGTGTATTGGTATAACATTACACCCAGGGATGATGTGTCTGCCTCTTCTGCGCCCGCCAATCTGCTGCATTCGTACAAAATTTGAATAAAAGGAATTGACATTGTGCCCTCGCCTAACCGGGCGACTTCGACTCGGTATAAAGAAGGAGATGCAGTTTGGGTAAAAAATCCGCACGGACGCTGCACATCAAAGTTTGTGAAAGGTCATGTCATGGGAATAAACAGTCCGCAGTGGGTAGTCATCGATGGGATACTGCGACACGTGGCAGATGTACGTCCACAGCTCACTTCATTGTTACCAATGGATGATGGCGGTGACACAACGTCAGGGAGTAATGAATGGCAAGAACCAAGCTCCAGTGCAAGCAGCAGCAACACCTCACCTGAAAGTGAGAAAGAAGTAGACTTGAACCTTAATGATCCCCCGGAATATGATTCAGACCACGACACATCTGACGATTCAGCCGGGGAGGAAGTCATGGTTATACCACCACGAAGAAGTGCAAGGGTGAAACAACCAGCCCCTCACTGTCACTTATGTGATCATACGATCAAGGGGGAGTGTAATAGGAGTGACAGTGACTTACCAGGAGCAAAGCAAATTCGTTGCCTCGCGTGTCGAACCATTCTCTGAGAGTCAGTCGCGCGTGTGCCTACTGCCATTTTTATGCAGCAGACTTACTTGCATAAGAGAACCACGCTACTGATTAAAAACCCGGCGAGTGGACGTGGGAGGCCACTGCTTTTCTAGGCTTCGGCGAGACTAGACGGATTGCAGACAGAAAGCGACAGCAATTTCTGGACTTACGACACTTTCTATCACTTTTCATACTTGATAAAGATTACAAGATATTTCATTTTTTTCAGATAGTCATTGTTTGCTTTATGATCTTCTGATATTTGTTATATTTATGTACTTTTGAATAGGGTATAAAGAAATATAAAAACTTCACTAGAAACAAAGAAAAAGAGTACTAAACCTTTATGTAATACCTATTCTCCTGCATCTGGACAATCTACTCAAAGATGAAGAAACATGAAATAACAAAAATTATGTTCTACAGAAGGATGCTGAGAATACCATGTACAGATTATGTGAGAAACAAAGTTTTTTGAAATTTCTCGGGCACACAATAAGGAAAGAGTTCTTGAAAAATCTGATACTTAGAAGACAGATTGAACAAAAAGACACAATTTATTAAGAGTTACAAAGGACAGGACATTGTGGAGACCCATGATCACCTAAGTCCTGATTGTCCTTGGTATGACAATAAACTACATCTGTGTCCCCGGTGGGATGATAAACGACATCCGACAGCAAGGCCTCTGATCAGGAGGTTTTGAGGAGCGTAGAACCACTTCTTAATTGCTGGTGTTCCCAGGTCCACCCTGACCCGGGGTGGTAGCACCTGTTAGGATCACTGCTATGGGCAAATAGTTTACCTCGAAACTGAGGTAGAAAGCATTATGAAAGTGTAAAAATAGGTTTTAATACCAGAAATACTTTGTAAAAAAATCTATTGCCAGCAATACATTTTTGAAAAAAAATATTACCACCTGTCCAATTTTGAGGAAAAAAAATATTACCAAAAATAGATTTTTAACAAAACAAAAATATTATCAGGGAAAAAAAAGTTATCATCATTAAATGACCCATTGACATTGATATACCATTAAACAAAAACCAAACCAAACCAAAGTCCTGAGGGGACGGAGCACAAAAAGTAGTTGATTTGGAGCAAAATCTTCATTTATTTTAACAATTCTTTCTGATTAGGAGTTTATTTATTTCTCTTTTTTATTAACTCAAATATTTACTTTCTCACCTGTATTGATGATGTGGAAATCTATCTTCAAAAATTAAGTAGAAATATCATTATGTTCATAAGCTATGAGAAAAGCCAAATGCTATTTTTTTTTTTTAATTTTTAACATAATCTCATTCCTATAACTAAAATCTCTCCATTAATTCTATTGATCAAATATACAGGGGACTATAAAAGTAGGTATACAGTAAGTTGATATGACATTATTGATATGTTTGTATAATCAATACATTTTGAGCACACATTGTTTTTCATTACTATGTGCATATTTTGCATCCCTCTGTATAACAACATTGATTCCATATTCTCTCTTGCAAGATAACACACATCATTTGCAAATTAATTGAAATTGCCTTGACTCATTGATTACTTGACCATGCCTCAGTTTACACAAGTCATGCATAGTAGATCAAAGGACTGGCATGCATATATATATATATATATATATATATATATATATATATATATATATAGTTAAATATAACAGGCAACAAGTGTCTATTATGTTTGATCATGAGCCATTCTAAGCCTCATATAGTTGCTTTAATTTCGGGAGAAAATAAAGACAAAAGCTGTCCAATATTTGGATATTTTTTTATTATGCTGTTTCTCAGTCTAAGCTTTTGGCTAACATGAGCCATCATCAGAGTGATTATATGGCCATTTCAACAAAGATAAACACCATCGAAGATGATATCCTATTATGTTTACATAGAAGTTTGCTATGCAACAGTAACGGTCACAGAATAGCAGACACAGGTTGTAAATTTGTGTTGCAGTTCTATAATGTTGTACCGTGTGAGAGAATGAAATATTTACAACAGAACCATATGTTTAGATGCAGTATTGTGTGTTGTGACTTGTTTGAAATGTAATTTAGTTGAGTGTAGGTTGCTTTGTTTTAATGTAGATGGCCTCCGGTATCTGAAGGTTCTTTTTACTGTGTGTGTGTATGTGTGTGAGTATTGTTGTGTTGTCAACTAATATCTTTCTAATATTATTTGCATGGCAATGTTTTTCTAAGAAATGTTGTTAATAGAACTATAACCAGAAAAGCAGAATGATCTGCTGCCCCAATACACTATATATATATATATATATATATATATAAATCTGTCAGATATGAAATAGTCATTTTATAATGTTTGCTCGAAATGAACATTGAATATGCATTAAGCTAAGTCCATATACAAGAAAGAAAATTGTCACTAAACAAATATTTGTTAAAATCCTTTCACCTCAAAGAAGACTATAAAGCCACTAAGACACAATGGGTTAGAGAGTGTAAAAAAAATATGGGCCAAAGAAAACATTAAGGAGAGAGAATAAAAGAAGATGAATTAAATTTTTGAAGATCAAAGTTGACTGGGAAGCAATAAGCCAAAAGAGAGCTCCTCAAGTGACAAGTATGATAGAACAAGCTATTAGCATAGAACTTACATCTAGCAATTTTGAATGTAAAATGATGAAATTTAGCATTGCCCTTAAATTCATAAAATCTAGGTACCATAGAGGAAAGTTCATCAGAGCAATTACCATAAAATTATTTGTAGTAAAGGCACAGGGAAGCTGTTATTGTGGTGTAAAAGTGAATGGACAAATAAAAACAAATGTATTTTCTCCATCTTCGTTGTCACTGCACATAATCCCAACTCTTCTATGTGGATGGTACATTATACAATAAAAAGTTCATATCAACATTCAGCTGGTAATAGTCTCTAATTCAATTCACTTTACACCCATACAGTCACACCCACACTAAAATTCACTAAAAAATGACTGTACTAAATAAAAAAAAATGTCCCAAACTTAATAAAAACTTAGTTTTATTAACAAAATCTTTGTGATTATTAAGAGGTAAAACCAAAGGACTTTCTGATTTTTAAATTATATTTTTTTAATCCTTCAAAAATGTGGTGAAAAATATTTTTTTCTTGTGTCAGTGGATGGCCATAAATTAATATTGGAAATTTTAGTAACTTTTTGCAGTGAAAAGCACACTGATTTGGAAATTCTTGCAAAAATCTAGTAATTCTCATATTTTAATGAAACATCCCCAAATTAAGCTATTTTAGAAATATTTCTTTGTTTAGAAACTCTTGTATATATATATATATATATATATATATATATATATATATATATATATATATATATATATATGTGTGTGTTACCCTCATCTTATTTTATGAAATTTCAAGAAATTAATTTTGTATAACTTAACACTTTCACTGCTACTCATTTGCCCAGTGCTGCCCCCATCCGGCCAGCCATTTTTAAAGAAAATGCCAAATTTCAACCTACATATTTTATTACACAGAAAACTGGCACCAGTGTGTTTTACAGCATTCCATTTTCATGGATATACCTGGGAATGACTTACCAGATCAGTAATGGGTATACACATGATATCTTTTGAAGCATTGTCCTTTGTGGAGTGGGACTTCACACTTTTTGCAGAAGTACCTTGTTTCTGAGCATTTTCCAGCTTTTTTGCAGACTCTGCATGGCTTGGAAGGGTACCTTTTCTTATTGGATGGTGGAATTTCTACCAAGTCATGAGCTTTCATTCCCCCAACCAGGCGATTGGCAGGATCAATTTTAGGTGCCCTTGAACATACCACAGCTTGAGGAGCTTCCCCTTCATTTTCAGAGTCAGAGGAATGATGGTCAGGGGAGGCAGCCTCGGCCTGACCAAATTCTGCAAGAATGTCATCAATCAGTTCCATCCTGAAATCCAGCAATGCAAGCTTTTTTCTGTGGATTTGACTTGTTGTACAGGATGTGGGAGTTCATAATGCCCAATTCAAACAAATATAGCACAAATTTCTTGCTCCACTTGATGGTTTTGCACATACAGGGATAATATTTTGCCATCTGGTCCAGTTTGTCAACACCTGACATTTTTGTTGTAGTCCAGCACACATGCAGGTTTTTGAATTGGCTGATTGTTCTTGTCCTGAGTACCAGAATCTTCCATCCTAGAGTCATGGAGAGTGGAGATCATTTTCACTGGGTGTTTGTCCTTCCACATGAGCACTAACACATCTCCATCCCTACAAAATGTCACCTGTCTCCGCTGAAGGTGATCAGCTTCCTGCTGCTGGTCACGAGGAGCACCACGGTTTAGTTGAAGTGTACCACAAACATGAACTTTCCGCTCATCTTCCAGAAAGAATTTGGCCAATGCAACACTGTTGTAATAGTTGTCCAAGTACACTTTATAGCCAAAGCCATATAGGTGCTATAGTCCACCACAGATCTGCTGAACTGTTCTGCCAATACCACAATAGAGTTCATAGTTACAGACGTAACCACTACTCGACTCGGAAACAATGTACCCTTTCATCCCATATTTGTCAGGCTTCTGAGGATTATAGGCCTGAAATCTCACACGGCCACACCATTTGAGCATACCTTCATGTAGGGAAAGTTTTTCCTCAGGAGTGTACACAGCTTTGAACTGTAATGTAATCATATACAGGACGGATCTTGTAGAGCTGATCTTCTTCATTGTCGGGGCGAGCATTATTGTCACCGCAGTGAAGAAACTTCAGATTCAGAAGAAATTTATCTCTAGCTATGTTCTCTGAATAAAATGGAGTCGCCACTTTCTGATCAGGGCTCCAGTACATCTGAATTTCAGGCTTTTTCACTATTTCTGTGTTGAACAGTAGGGCCAAGAACAGCCAAAAGTTTTCCGTTATCAAGTCCTTCCACCGGCGACAGCGAGAATACTGTTTCAGATTAGGGCATTCTTGGAAATATTGTTGAGCATATCTATTTGTTTCTTGCACAATGTTTACAAGGTCATCTGTGAGAAACATTTTCAACCACTGAAGGCAACACCCTGGATCACTGGGCTGCATATTTATGCCTGGAGTGCCAGTGAACTGATGCAGATGTGGAAGTCTGTCAATATTTGTCCAGTCCCCCACCTGATTTTGATTTCTCCTGCCCTGGTTTTGTCTACCATGGGCTGGAGCTGGCTGTTGAGCATTACCAGGATCAGCAGGGCCAGGCCTATGCACTGCAGGTGCTGCAGGCATTGCAACAGGCCCATCAGGTGCTGCAGGCATTGCATTATTTCCTACACCGGCGGCGCCTATGCATATGGGCTGACCATCACCTTGGCCGTGATGAACATTCATGTCAGCATCACCGTGATCGCTCAAATCATCGCTAATATTTCCGTCAGTTTCACTTTCACAACCATTACCATCCTCCCACACGTAGTCAGGATTATCAGAATCGGAATTTTCGCTAAATCGATCTGATTCATTGTCAGCAAATATTTCTGCCAAAACAACTTCTACAGACAGCCATGCTGCTTGTTTCATGGGCGCCGGGTGCTGGGAGCATCCACATGCTAGCTGCATTTTTGTCAGGAATATTTTCAAATTAGATACGAAACTAATATGACATAGAGAAAAATCGAGGCTGACTAATAATTTGCATGATAGATCAGTTAGAATTTCCCGTATTTTACGATAGATGGCACAACGGGACACTCATACCAGCGGTATGCAAAAAACATAGGTTTCCGTACTTAGCCAGCTGGAGCAAGATAAGAAAAACGAAGATCTCCGTAGTTAGCAGCGGATGTGTTAATGGTTATATTATTAATTTTAACCAGAAGTTCTTGGAGAATTTACATCATTTTTTTTTTTTCATTTTTTTGAAAATTAGAAACATCAGTTACTGAAAATCTTCTCTGAATCTTAAAATAAGATGCAATAAAAATAAGACATTATTTAATTAGAAAAGCTTTTATAAATAAGCTATATTATGTATACTATTGTCTTAAGAATTTGTTTTTTCCATGAATAATGAATTTTTACAGGATTTGTTTACATCTTTAAAAAATTTTAATTATTTTAAAATTCTGTATTAATTTGTACTGGTTAGGTGATATTAAGTAAAAACTATATTTAATAAATGGAAAAGCTTACTACAGTTTAGTGAATCCCCCCCAACCCCCATATTTTCAAAAGAACTTTGAATTTTTTTTTGTGTGTGTATAAACATGCCAATTTCTGTAAATACAGACATCCATACATGACATTATCAGAAAATAAATGTGATATTTGAAATGAATTTAAAGCCAAAGTACCAAAAATTTTTACAGATATGGTCCCACAACCCTAGAAAAATTAAATTTATTGCTCTCAGTTGTACTGTCAACACTTAATACAAACCGTCACTTGCTAAAAGTACTTTTCTGTGTTATTTTAAACTAAATGTCATTTTTTCAAATTGGATTAATTAAACTTTAAATCAGCTAATCTTCAGAAGAAGGAAAGTATATTTTATTTTTGAAAAATTTTTAATAAAGAATTATTGTGCTGAGACGATTGTAGGTCTATGTAAAATTAACCATTTTTAGTAATAAAACAACTCATTCCAATGAATTTAAGTTCATTTTGAAATATGAGAAGTATTTTGCTTATTGGGAATATTAAATTTAATTTATTTTCTTGAAATTAAAACTAAAATAAAACTTTCAAGAAAAATTTTTCATTTTCGAAAATTGTTTCTTTGTTGGTCCCTTCCTACCTACCTTTGTGTTCCATCATTCTATCTGTATCTAAATTCAAAAGTTTTGAGACCTACCAAACCTAATTATGCACAAAATATCTAAAAGACAATTTAACTTAATAAATTATATAATTAATTTGAATTGAGAGGAATTCACGTTTTTCTCAAAGGCATTAGTGTGAAAGTGAATGCAGCAAACTACACAAGAATTTGAAATCAGCAATTCCATTTTCCATGCAAATACCTGTTATGCACCTTGCACTTCCCATTTATGGGATACTGAACAATAAAAAAGTGACTTTCTAGAATTAATGTTTATATTTGATGTTGTTGTTTATCCTTATATTCAAGTTTCTAAAATAGTGAATATTTGAAACACATCAACCCCTTAAATTGAAGTCAGAAAATTTCTCAGTATGGCTATCCATTAATTGCTGTTTTTTTTTTTTTTTTTTTTTTTTACTGTAAGTAATTCTTCCTCCTCTAAGACTCCAATGGGACACTTCCTAATGATGCCATGCATAACTCTAAACTCGTTCAGAAATATTTGAACTGTCAGCTGTATACAACCACTTCAACAGATTAATAAAAATATCTTTGAGGGAATGAAGCATGTAGGTCTTAGTGAGGATCATTCTTCTTCAAACCATGTGAACTGTTACTACTTGCAAACAAAGAACAGTACCAAATATTATAAACCGTATCATTTGAGGATATTCAATAGCAACAGCAGCTAAACCACATGTTACATGTAACTCATAGAGAAAATAATAACATAATCAACATTTTTATTTTCAAGCACAAGTTTAGGAAGGAAACCCTTATCAGTAATAAAGAATGAGAAAAGTGAAATTGAGAAACCTATTTTTATGAAAAACACTTTTAAGAGAAAGATTTTATAAATTTCAACTAACTTCTCGGTCAGTGAATACAGAATTTTTTCTTGTAAGGAAACAGATATTACCATTACTATATGATAAAATTTGATTTGGACTTGTGGAGTGAGTAGCCATAGTTATTAACAGACTATCACCATCACTTCCCCAGAGGTTTTTTTTATTAAAGTTGCCACATTGTCAGCTTTAATAATATAAGCATTAATAGTTTTGGCCCTTGCTTTGCGTAGGGAGGTTAATTCCATGTACAAGAACATTATTTTCGGTTTTTCTTTTGATAAATAGTCATCTCAAAAAATTTGCAGTGCTTTTCTGATATTTTCAGGGGTCTTGTCTTCTAATAAGAGACAGACTCCAATTAATGAGAAATTGGATGAATTTGGCAAACACATTCTTTTCACAGCACTCTCTTTCAATGGGACGATCAGTTGGAGCCAAGATTGTTTTGTGTAATTTTTGGATTCATGTGTATCTTACAAATTTTTACCTCCTCTACTTCATATTTTGATTTGACATCATTGAAATGTTCTATTCAATAATTTTAATATCTATTTGGCTATATATTCCTAGAGTCGATTTTGAATAGTTTAATTTTCTCAAGATGTATATTATCAGCTTTTTATAATTTCATGAATTTCTTTTTAAACATATATATTTGGACTGTCAACAGAAAGAAGCAAAAAAAAAAAAAAATACCTACTGTATTTTTTTTTGTTTTTTTGCAAAGAATTTATAAATTTGGATAAAGAAATGCTTTTATTCACCTGAAGCAGAAAAACTGGCATCAATTTGATGGAATTTGTTTTGAAAGACTGATATATGTTTTGTTTAATATTTTATAAACAAGTATTTATTTTATAATTAATTAGATGATTTAAAGTTTCTTGTGCTGAAAGAGATTTGAACCAACAAAAATTTTCTGATTAACATTTCAAAAGCACCTTTTCAAATATATCATTTAATGTTTATTCTCAGATAAGTATTTTATAAGAAAAATATGATTCCATTTGTTTTCTTTTTGTTTTGTTTTTCTTGATTCAAATCATGAAAGCCAAAACAAAAGTTTGAGGTTATTTTACTTAAAAGAGGATTTTTATCAAATTTTGTTAGAATAAATATATTTGACATTTCCTTTTATGTTTTTTACTTAATTATTTTTTTAGAAATAATCATCCTTTTATACTGGCTATAAGCTGTATATTTACTTACACTGGTAAATAAAACTTTCCTAATGGCTTGAAAACATTTATTTTGGGTTAAAGTGAATATACTAATGCTGAATCTATAACGTGGAGTAATTGGCCATGGTTAAGTGCAATTGGCAAATTTCTCAACAAGAATAATTGACCAAGTTCTTCATAAAAAGAAAAAAAATGAATACTAAGCAAACAATATATATATGCAAGTCAGAACAAGGCAAAGCAACAGAAATAAGGCAAAATAGTCACTATATAAGAATGTGTTCACATGCAAAAGGGATACAGTCAATTGGTTTGTCTTTTGTCTTCCACATATATAAATGATGTTGTACTAATCTAGAAATATTGTAACACTAGAAGTTTTTTGTTGTATATTTATATTCACGGTAATTGTATGTTGTTATCCATTTGAGCTAGTGACACTTGATTCAGTCATGTTAATAGTACAGAATTCTATGATGTTTCATAGAGATGAAAATTAAGCTGATTTAATAAACATGCTGACAGTCTATCAAAGAATAGCTTTCAGATGTAATTCTTTATTCTCATCATAATTTTTTCCCCCAACAGATCATCGTAAAATAGGCATCAATCATGTTGAGAAATTCAAACTGGTGTTGAAACATAGATTTTTTTCAACCCAAATGAGTTACTACTGTTGGTTCTTACAGTGGCAGTACAAAACATCTCTGAAAATATCAGAAATACAGTGAGTATTTTATATTAATTTATTTCCTATTATTGTCTAATTTTTCTTTGACTATACATGTACCTTCTACTAATATACTATTTGCATTGGACATAGTGATTTTCCAAACATAACTTAGATGTGGCACAAGGCTGAAAGTAGGGGGGCACCTAGTGAGGATCGAAGTCACTACTCAGTCGTAATTGTTCTAGTGAGAGAAACTTGCTAATCATTACACAGCCTTGAGGTGACGAATTTGCTTTGTACATAAATATGCCATCATTGTTGTCATCGTAACTTGTTGCTGAATACTGGAGTTCTCGTTGACATTTCCTTGTGTGTGAAATGAGTTCTATGTTGGATCTGAAGAGATTGCAGCCACTGGATGGTAGAGTAGGAGGGTTCAGAGGATGGAGAGCTATGGCTTTTCTTAGGGATCTCGTTGTCTCTTCTATTCATTCTGTTGAGCTTTCTATCAGACTCGATGAATTAATTAAAAATATATATATATATATATATATATATATATATATATATATCTTTTTCTGATGCATACAAACCTATGATAAAGTTTAATTTATAAATTATCATCCTGGGTATGACAATAAGCTAGGTCTCTGATTGAGAGATTAGAGGTTTGGACTAGTGTGGAACCACCTGTTAATTGTTGTTAGTCTCTTGTCCACCCTGTCCACAAATGATAGTGCCTGTTAAGGTCCCAGCTGTGGGTAAATAGTTAATGATCTGCAAAAACTAAGATCTAAAGGAAAGTATAAGAATATGAGCAATATATTTTTGTAATGAAATTACCAGCATTATATTTTTAGATCAGAACGACCAACAATGCATTTTATTTATGAAAATACATTTTTATCCCAAAATGACCAACAATGTATTTTATAGTAAAATTGAAGACATTGAATACATTGTCAAAAAATAATAAAAAAAGAAAACACAATTTCCTCTAATTAATCTCATTTCTTGTAAGGAGAAAAGTTTTCACTTGTTTTGATTTTGTA